AAAAAGAAAGCGGGAAGAATCTGATCTCTTCAACTAGCTCAACTCCCATACTTACTCTGCAATCTGTAGACTATCTAATTTAGAGAACTGTGTGCAGATGGAGGTAAACAGTGTGCAACACCCATATGGAGATGTTTATAGTGTTTCGTTTTTAGTCTATTCGCCACTCCATTAACGAAACCTCGTCTTCATCTCAGATTCACTGGAAAATAAATAAATCTTCCAGACACAATTCCACAACACACAAGTCTCAGTCCACCTTCTGGCTCAATATATCCACCTCTCATTCATAAATTCTGAAAAATTCCTTTTTAGTTAATTGCGGAGAGCGAAAACAAAATCCAAAAGGAAAGCTTTTAAAGAGGGGCTGACGCAATTAGGTTGGGATCTTCCCCCCCCACCCACCCACCCTGTCCTGGGCCCGTACGTGTGCAGAGTCAGACACCTGCGTTTAAGTCAGGTCATTACGTAAATCTCTCCCGCCACAGCTTACCGCGCCAGACGCTGCGTCCTTGCCTCGGCTTTGAAGGTTCCCAAAAGGACAGGCCCGCTAAGAAGTCATGAAGGACAGTCCCAGTAAAAGGCTAGCGCCGCGATGGCCTTGGACTTTGAATTCCTCAGTAGACAGGCTCATGCATCAATCCTTCAGCTTACACAGACAAGGCACTAACCTTCGCAACTCTGGACTCACTAGGAATGACTGGCATTTCACTTAGCCAGACCCTCTCTCACTCCTTCTCTCTCTCTCGCCTGGTCTGACTCTGTATAACCTGTTTAAAAATAAGGCACAGCCCACAGCTTCGCGAAACACTGCAGAAACAAACTAAGCATGTTAATCAAACTTAGTGACCCCCCCCCCACCCTTGTTCTCTGCCTGCTACCCTGTCACTTCACGAGTCTGGAGGACATCACCCATATCACATATGGTAGTCTGACAGTAATTGTATTAAATTGAATTATATGCTACGAAAGTCGCGAGATCATGTTTCTCATAATCAGCATCTTTCCATTTTGGAGGCCAAAAGTATTATACAAGTGACCTTAACTCATAAGGGACGCCACCTTATGTAGTCAGGAATAGAAAAGATTCTGTGCTCTGTGTTTGAGGTAACCAGTGCAGGGCAATAAAGGATTAGTGGTTTTGACAGATAATGAACATTTTACCCAGGGTCACGTTCTACTCTTCAAACTAGAGGCGCCTGTGTTTTGAGGTTTTTATAGCACTGTGTGAGGTTTTCTTTGGTGTTCGTTTAATAGAAGTTAAAGCAAGCAAAGTCGGGTTTTGTAGCAAGACTTAACCGATATAAAAATTTGGTGGCGGACACCAATTTTAGAGGGGTAAAAATTCCAATAACCAATAATATTGGCCAATAATTTGACATATATATTTTTAGATTTTAACTTTATACCCTAATAGTGGTGGTTAAACAGGGCTTTACTGTCTGATATGATTGTGAGTTTTCAGTTATCATACTTTTTAAAATCTAATCATTAAAATCATCTCTTATTTTTCAGTTTTCTTCATAAAAAAACACTTGTTTCTCATGCTATAAGGTTAGGTTTGGGTGCACTTTATATGTGATATGTAACTTGCAATTTTGTGTAATATGTAATGATTTTGACTTCAGATTCATCAGTTCAGTCTGTATTGGTGTCATATTGTTACTAACTTACTAAACTACTAAAGTTCAATTATATGTCACTAAGTTTGCTTGAAATCCTTCAGTGTCGCAAACAAGAAAAGAGCTGCTCATCGCCAATATTATCAGCCAATACTGATAATATCTCGGACCGCTTATATCTTCCAACCGGTAGGCCTATATCAGTCTGTAGGACACTTTTTTAGCATGGAGTCTGAGCACTCTGGAAGTATGTCAATTCAAATATCATCCCATACAGTGATGGTGAATTTTACCAATAACGCCCAGCAGTAGAGGTTAAACACTTATTTCTAATGCAAACCAGGAGACGGTGAGCATCAAGTTATGTGCTTTCCACAAAGTGTAAACTAAATGACGAGAAAGTCAGAGGCTGAGCTGCTTCTGGGAACGCTGGTGGATGTCACTGCCTGGCACAGATATTTCACAGCTGCTGTTTTTAAATGGGTGATGATGGTACGGGTGGCCTGCCTAATTTATCTGACCTGCATCTTTGCCTGAGACTGGAAAGCAAATTCAGCAAACTATAAATTATTAACAGTAAACCAATCAGCAAAAATCAATCCATCACCATAAATGAAAGAGTGTTGCCACTAGTCCAAGGCAAAGGCACAAATTCTTTCAGCAGATGAGTCTCTGCCCCATATCTCACAGCCACAGTCCTGACCATTCATCTTTGCTCCAATGGTTTTAATGTTCTACCTTGCCTGTATTTCTAGCGTTCAGAAAGATTAATGGAATGCTTTTTTTTCCCTTTGCGAGAAACTGGCTCATCTTCATGCCATCTACGCTAAGACATACAGACCGATGTTGTTGACTACAGAACAGACACCATACCAGAGTTTTAATCCTGCTCTGCATTGACACATACTAGGGTTTTTTCCAGGGCAAAGGCTAAGCTGACATAGAGGCACTCAAAACAAAACATGTACCTGCAACTACCTCGAAACCTGGAGATACACAGGCTACGTGCTGTTTTTTTTCTTCATAAGAGGCTTAAAGCACCCAACAGACTCCAAAGGTGCTGAGGCCAATGGGACCATTTTGAGGTGAGAATTGCAAGGCATTGTTTTCATGTTTCACAGCTCTGCGTGGCAGTATTCCCAAGTATAAAGGAAGAGATAATGTGGTCATTTTCATTTTCCGAGCAACCATCAACACCATCCATGAGTCATTCTCACACTTAAACAAGCCCACTAGCAATGCTCACACCTCACGCAATCAGTTCGGGACTACTGGTCCTGCACGCCACTACAAAACATGAGCGGTCATTGAAACGAATGGTTTTGTACCTGTAGATGTGACTCAGTGAGGGAAGCTCTGAAACAATTCTAAATTGATTTGCATTCACATTTGACTGTTGACTCTACTACTACCATGATGGGCCATAAAGATATATCAGAGGTGTTAGCAGCACTGAACACAATGGAAACTTCTCAGCATAGTTTTCGAATGCACATCATACCATAGGCAGAAAACAAAAGCCCTGATATCAACCCAGTACTGATACCTGGTATCAGATTAGTGTCATCTCTACCTACTGGTATAACCACATCATCCATTATCCATACGATACCCATATATTTTCCCTTCAAAGCCAAAGCACGGATACCTTTACTAGAAGTTCATCAGCAGTTGAGTGAAATGAATAACAGTGTTAAACAGTGTTGCCTATTTAAAAATGAGGAAATCTAGATGGTAGAGGTGGATGACACATCATAATGCTTCACATACAATATGCATGACATGAAAAATGTTGTTTTTCTGAGCTTTACAAACAAGTTAGATGGGGCAAAATGCACCTGCAAAACAGTAGTTTACGAAAATAAAATGTTTAAGAAAAAACATTAGGAAAAAGCAAATAATTACTAAATATGCTTAATATTATGCAGTTGTTTAATGTTTCAGAGGTACGGTACCCACAATATACTCTGAAAGGTATATCATGACGCGATTTATCACAATAATGATAGCATTTCGTCAAATTGCCAACCCCTACTAGGTGGAGTTACGACCCCTAGTTTTGTAATCATTATCAACAGGACATTTAATGGGTCAACATGGACAACAGACAGGCTTCTCAAACCTAAAGCTCAAGTCTGACCCCAATCTAACCAACTAAAACACCCAACAGCAAATTTACACAATTTTTCCCTTGATGTAAATGTTATCGATCAGCCAATATACATACACACATACATATATATATATATATATATATATATATATATATATATACATATATATAGCCATATTAGCCCTGTAGCTCATGTGCAAAACTAAAAGAAGAAGCAAACTTCACGCCTTGGCTGACCAACTACATTTGGATAATGGGAAAACTGTGTAAATTAGATCTTTTTCAGTGACCCATTCCTGCACCCAAGCTAGACCCCTGCTAATTCTGTCTATTTTTGCACGACAAATCATGAACTTGTTATTCTTTTTTCCCCCTTTCCTTCTCCAAAAAGGCACCAGCGAGCACCTGAACTAACAGTAGCAGGCCCCAACTGTGGCATCTGCTCAGTGACTCCCATAACCTTTTGACTCTGACCTCTGCAGTCTCTTCTTATTGACCAAAGCAGCAGGAAACCTCATGATAACAATAAACACCACACAGTCCAAAATCCATAGTTATCATTTGCCATCATTGGATTTTGGATCTTTTTTTGTTTTCTCTGCCCATGACCTGAGGAAGGCGCAGGGAGGGGGCAACTCTACTTTATTTCTCACTACATTTCCAATCCCTGATCATAGACATGTCACTCCAGGCCAATAATCTGCTGTTTTCACACACATTCATATTCATCCCAGTACTCTGTAGAAAAGTAGAGGCAAAAACACTGAAAGCCATAACTGTGTGGACACTGCAGGTTGCACAGACAGTGACAGTGTGTTCCAGTGATAATCAACAAGCAAGAAAAGAAAATGAGAAATATAGTAGCTGCCATTTAACCAAGAAGAAAGTAATAAAAGTGTAACGAAAGCTGTAATAACGTTGTAATAACGTTAGTATTTTTAACAAATCAACTTAAAAAGGTGAAAAGTCAGCCAGAACTGGACTTTTGCTTTAGATGAAACACATTCACGGGCAAAAAAGAGCCAGTTTTCGTCCAGCCTTCTTCTCATACCCAAATTCAGACGAAGAAACGCAGAGAATAGAAAAGAAAATGAAGGCAACACTCACACTAGCATGGAAATACAGCACAAAATGGAAACTAAACGAGCCACCATGGCGTGTCTGGTTAATTTTCTCCGACATTTTCAGTCACATTTAGTGTGAACGTGGAAAAAAAACACGACATTAACACCACCTTAGTCTCTCAAGGCAGCTGCCACACTTACCTGCTGCTAAACCTAAACCCCTTCTTCTTCTTCGACACACCGAGGGGGGAAAATCCTTCACCAAAGTCTTTTGACTGACAGTCTTTAAGTGTCCTTTCGCGTGTGAGAGCGCGTTTTAGGTACTCGATAGGGAAAGCCGATATGTCAGTCCAAAAGACGGGTCCAAAACGAACAAAAAAGACCCCCGGGTTTCGGACGGAGGCTCGCCGGGCTCCGCGCCCCTTCTCTCGGCTGTGACTGAATTCGTTTGCCGCTCTCGGAATCCCCTTAACTGTGGAGAAACCGTCGAGTGTGTTTTTTGTTTTCCACCAGCATTGTGGAAAGACCCGCCTTTCCCGCGTTAAGATTGGATAGAACTAGCGCGCGAGCTGCGCTCCGATTGGATGGCGGCGTTCCCGCCTGCGCTAGGATTGGATAGTGGTTCTTGCGTACAAGCTGTCCGCAGATTCGGCGAGAGTTAACTACTAGCCAATCCTGGCTCAGGTGGCGGGAGCAATGCTGACCAATCAGAGCATAAGGGAGGCGGGACTTTCAGGAAAACGGGTGGGAAAACAGAAAAACCGCTGCAATGTACAACTCCTCCCAGGCAGCAGCCTTAAAGGCGCAGTGAAGTACTTTAACACGCTGCTTGGAGAAACTGTCACTGTTACTCCCCATATTGTGCTCCGGATAGGAGATAAATTTAAAACTTTCAATATTATTATATTTTATACATTATTATATATTATCTGACACAGAGTACTAACACTGCTCTGTGAGTATCAACAAATAATCTCCAGATTTCAAGGAATGGTTCAGCAAAAAATCAAAAGTACACAGTTTTCCCCTTACCCTGCACGTAATTGATCAGCTAACAAACATCTGATGTCCAAATTTTGTTTCTTTAGTTTAGTGCAGGAGCTATGAGGCTAACATTGCCAACAAACACTAGAAATCAATAGTCACCCAATTTTTTTCTGTAAATACATCCCCTAAATTTCTCTCAACCCATTGAAACTGCAGCCAGGTCTTCATTGAGGTCATGCTGACTGTGGTTTACGACACAGGATGATCCTGTTTACACCTTGCATTTACATGTGTTTTGTGTCTGGACCATGTTAGAATAAACTTTGGTTAGATTCCACTCACACTTATCATTAAAATGCATCCCCAGCTTGACCAGATAAGACCCAATTGTTTATTTCCCATGTAAAAAGCACATTAACACGTATATCATTTTCATTTTGAATGTGGTTTGAGTGATCCAACAGTAATCCAATCACAATGAGTCCTGGGCTGCACACAATCACACCTGGCTTTTCATGCAGTCAAGTGAAATCTGAACATGAACTGATCACCAAAAATGCATTTTAGTACAAAGTATAAATAGGCCCTATGACTTACTGTAAAATATAAAAATGAACAAAACCTCTGAACGCTGTGGGCAGCTAGTTCACATAGTTTTTTCTTTGTGACCTTAATGAAGGCCTGGATGCAGTTTGAGCAAGCTGAGAGAAGTTTTGAGAAGAGTATTAATGGAAAATATTTGGGTGACTATTGATTTCTAGCAATTGTTAGCAACATTAGCCTCATAGATCCAGTGCTAAACTAAAGAAGCAAAATTTGGACACACAACATATCTTGGCTGATTGACCACACATGCGGTAAGTGGAAATTTGTGTACATTAGATTTTTTGCCCAACCATCCCTTTAAGAGGAGGGACTTCAAGTTATACATTTTTATCAGAGTGCATAATTAAGATACAGCATCATCATATAGAGATATATCGCTGCTGTCGGAAGAAAACTTCATATCTCCATTTTTCAGTTTTTGGCATAATTTGAAAATGCCTGTTGCCCTTTACATTGTGTGTAAATTTCAAGACGAATGGACCAAAACAAACGGCCCAAAACGACTTGGAAAAAATCTCTGGTTCCATTGACTTACATTAAAAGTAAAGTAGGTTTTTTCCTTCTCCTGTAAAGTTACCAGTTTGGAGATATGAGGTTTTTATCCGACAACAGTGATATTTTTATATTCCCTCCACAACTATTGGCAAAAACATGAACAAAACTGATTAAATTAGGATCACCTGTCTTCATGCGGTAAATAAATAAACTGTTACATTTCCAAAATTCCCAGGCTAAATTTGCCAGTCAATGTTGCTACAGTCATGCAGTCATTATAAAGAGCCATTCTCTTACAGCTTGCAGTGACATTAGGTTTGATACGACTTTCAGTCTGATGAACAGAAGGAAGCGTTACGTGTAGTAAATGCTTTGTTTAAAGGAAAGAGGCAGCTTGAAGCATTGGCTAGCATGTAGTTTGTATAGCAAGTATGCTAGCTGGCACGATAGCTATTAGCTGAAGTTTCAAGCTAATCTGGCCAAAGTTAACACACTTCATTTACTGTGTAGCACCAGTTCTGTCCTTCAGACTGAAGGTTTTCAAAACTGAAGGCTCATTATTTGAGGTCGTATTGAGCCAGACAGATTATTAGCAGGGGTTTACATGTACAGTGCTACGTCTGCAGCTAACGCAGCTAATAATGATACTAAAATCAAAGAATTGATTTATGAACATCTCTGGTATTAGCTGATGCTGCTCTGATCGAATTGGGGTAAAAAAACAGATGAGTACATCCTCAGCTCAAATTCTAAACACCATTTCATCCACACTTTAAAAAGATGGCTCTTCAAGGGTTCTCTAATAAAGGCTATGGTACTGTCCAAAACCATGAGTTCTATGTAGAACCATTTTATGCTTGAATGGTTCTTTGCATGGTGAAATCATCCTTCAGATTGATGGAGAACCTTTTTGAAAATGGCTATAGAGCACCAAAAGGGTTCTATATAGCACCAAAAACACACAATAGAAGCTTGTAACAATAGAAGAATCCTTCCATTTTCAAAAAGGTTCCATGTAGAACCATCTATGGCACTTTGTCCTTCAATCCGTAGAACACTTTCACGATGCAAAGAACCCCTTTTATCATTCAAAGGGTTCTTTGAGCGTTCATAGTTCTATAGAGTACCATTTTGTTTACTTTACGAACCTTTGAAGAACCATCTTTTTTAAGAGTGAAGCTTGACATCATAACAATAGAAGACCCCTTTTTGGTGCTCTATAGAACCATTTTCAAAATGGTTCTATGTAGAACAATCTACAACACATTCTCCATCAATCTGAAGAACCATTTCACCATGCAAAGATCCTTTCAAGTATGAAATGGTTCTATACAGATCTCGTGGCTCTAAATAGGACCATTGAATTTACTAAAGAACCTTTGAAGAACCATCTTTTTAAAGCATGTGCTAAATAATTGTTGTAATCTATACCACTGTGGACAAATTCCAGTAAGTACATTTCTGCCTTTGCACCTTTTCTCACTATAAAAGAGGGAAGCGCTCTGAGTGGTCAGTTGAGGCCAGCTGCTGTGAAGTTACACTGATAAATTAAGAGCTTTAAGCATGAGCAAAATGATACTCCGTCACCTGAGTTAACATTACTGCATCAGTAATCTATCAACCTGTAAACACACTGAAAAGACATCAACGTCCACCAGACTAATGATGCGCCAGACTAACAGACACACAGCCAAAGCCTCCAGCTATGCTATTAAATATAATTGAGTGACAAACACATGTTGCGGCTCTGTGATCCTCTCCAGCTTTTGAAACGGGGTCACGGGGAGGCGCTGGACCCCCGATCCGAACGTTATCTGGCCAAGTTGACTTTTCAACTCAAGTGACCTTTCATCTTCGAACTCCGACCTCGGATGCCACATGAATGGAGATACAATATCCTCCCTTTCATTCCTCCCCCAGCTAGTCGCCTGACCTTTGCCCCCTCAGCTTTTCACAGAACTGTGGTTCATGGAACTTAAACCTTTGACCCCCGAACAGAGGAGCATGTGTGCTTTTTTTTTCTTGTAAAGAGGTTCAGAGATTTTACAGCTATCCTGTACATTGACCACTGAGCTCACAGCCTTTTCCAAGAATTATAACAAGGCGATTCTGCTTTTACGCAGACACCACCGCATGCTGTTTAAGTAGGGGGGTGGGGGTGGGGGGGGGGCTGTGGTTAAAACAGTTCAAAAGACTTTTATAGACTCGTGCTGTGAATGTGTGAATGCTAGCGTACTGTACTGCTTTACGTTTTTCATGGAGAAGATTTATTTGGCAATTACACAAAAATACAGAACAGAGGCAGCCATTTGTTTAATGTCCAGTCAAAACAGCCATTAAGTACAGGATATTCATTTTTCAGGAGATAATTCTAAGAGGATTAGATGTGAGATAATCCAACTGCGTAAGGAAGGATAAAGTTTCTAAAACTGGAGTTCAAAAAATTATTAAAAAATACAAAATTGGACTCCTAACAACCACCTGCAAGACCTGGTAGACCACCAGCACTGTCCCCAACAGATAAACAGCACTTAAAGGCTTCGTCTTTGAGAGAGAGGAGAAAATCAAGCTCCAGTCTTTATTCAGATCTGAAAAAATCCACAGTCCATCCTTCCACTGTGTGAAGATAACTCAGCGCTATGGGTCTGAAAGGATGTGTAGCTGTTCAAGAAGCTCTTACTGAGAAAAGGAAACAGAAAAAGAGCAGAAAATCTGTGAATCAAAGAGGCTGCTGGTGTTCTCAGAACAATGAACTGACCACCCCAGAGTCCAGGCTTCAACAGTCTGTGTGACAGTGTTTTGATCCATGATCTCTTTAAACATTACAATGCACCTGAAATGTCTGTGGTGCAACTGAAGTTACTCTACGAATTACTCTGAAAATATAATTTAGTATCATCTTTACACGCTAACTTACGATAAAACGTCCGTTCAGTTAGGGCAACTGGCTACAGCTGTCTAAAGTGGCTGCATTCCATGTTGTTACAATAATACAAATACATGCAATTTTGTACTAATCTAAGATAAAAATCAATAAAACTGTCAAACACAAAGTGGCTGCATTCAGCTGCACCGTGAAGTTTTGTTCATTTTTATAGTTTACAGTAAGTCATACTGTGTCCTAAACCACACCAGCACGTCTGTACCACCTTAATAAAGACATGAATGCAGTCTGAGTGAAAGTGAAGTTTTGTATTTTGGATGTATTTATGGAAAAGATTTGGGTGACTATTGACTTCTAGTGTTTGTTAGCATTATTGGCCTCATAGCTCCAACACTAAGGCTTTAATAAACTTGCATGTGCACTGCGAATGTGTATCACTGAATGGGGCTGGAATTATGTGGATTGTGAGGAGCAGAAAATGCAACCA